TTAAGTTATACATTACATCTAGTTAAGACGGGGATTTTATTCACTATACCTTAGCATATTTACAAGTTTCCATCGTTGGAGGATATTTTAATATTTAGTCATTAAAGGAGTTTTCGCCTTCATTTATAGTGGTCTCCACCCCTTCTAGTTGAAATATCTCAAGAACTATTTAAGTCATAAAAATATAAAATAGCATCTTAAATAGCTAAGACAAAACTGCACAGATTACATATAAGTCGTTAGGGATGTGGATAAAGATTTTAATTATTACGCGGGATTAGTCCCCAGAATTAGTCATTTTACCCCAGGAAACTGGCCAGAAGGCAAAACTTAGACCGACTCGGTTTAGGTGTGACGTAGGGGCTCTCTGATATGTCCGCGCGCGGTTTTAAAAAGGGGAGCACACGAGGTAGGGGTCATTTCGAGCTTTGGTCAGCATACCTGCATTGTGCCTTTGTTCAGTGCGGCCCATTGGAACGCTCTGTAAGTAGAGGCAATTACGCCATTTTTATTTCTTTGTGGTTAGTAGGAACTTGTTGAGTGTTAGCATTAGAAGATTTCTGTTCAGACTTATAGCCAGGATAGAGTGTAGGATAACCTACAGCGTGTAGACTTATGCTCATGCTATTTTAAAGGTTAACATGCAACCGTTAAATAAATTATTTAATAGGATTAATAAATAGATACCAGTGGCCAGGGTTTGTGCGTAACAAACAACTGCATATCGTTCTGGGTACACATACTGCAATGCGCTTATAAAATAAGCTATTGATACAACAGTATACAACCAGCGAGTGTCCGTCAAATATGTGTAATAGGCTAACTTTCCTGCCGTGTGCTAAATTCTCACATAGGAAATAGTGCATGTGTGAGGATCACATCCCATATAATATAATTATGATTCATTCTGCAATCTGCTGTTGTCTTAACAAGACACATCGATGGACAGATACAAGTATCAAGCCAACGGTGGTCATACTTACTACCATTGTATTTACTGTCCCGCTATGTGTGCCTCTTACATAGACACCATACCTGGATGGCATACTATAATAACTTCAAGATCTTTAAAGTTTATGTTAGCCCTCACATCGCACTCTGGTTCTGTGTGTAGCATTAACACTGTGCACGTGTTTCAAATTAAACACTGCACGTGGTTTCTTTTATAGTTAAAACATTCGTAGTACAAGATAATTATCTTTGCCATGTGTATGAACCAATACTACGTACATATCATTTATCATGCTTTCTAATTAAGTATATGTTGTCGCCACGTGTAATTATGTGGTTATGTAACATGTTTATTATTAGCTATGTTAGTCAGGACATTGTTAACCTGTACTATTTGTTTATTTTCAGATATTGTCCTTTTTCTTTTTCTTTCTTTTTTTTCTTTCTCTTCTTCTTTCCCTTCTTCTTGTTTTCATCATAGGAGAGCATTAATTAAAAAGCTATAGTCCTCAAGACCTGATTGTTTTATTTGGGATTTCATTTAAACTGTAAGCCACGTCATCCACTCGGCTACATATATATATTTATTTATTTATTTAGTTATTTATTTATGTATAGTTGACATATTATTGCTGCGTCACTTAGCGACGAGGACACCAATGCTGAAAACACTCTGATGGAAGAAGAATCCATCTATGATTTGGATCCAACAACCGTTACCGGATATACGTCATGTTCTGAATGGTGGAATGGAGCTGAGGCCGGGGAAGCAGCACCACCACCTGCAGGCGCCGCCGTTGCTGCGGTAGAGAGTAGGAACACTATAGCATCTCTCGCAGATGAGGTATTTAGAACTGTGCAGCATTTTTGATGGCGTACCTTGCATTGCAATGGGGCAGTGGTCGGAAAACTCCTTAGTCAAAAAAGCAAAAAATTTAGCAGCAGGACGATTAAAATTTTTGTAAGACAAATTTCTTTTCAAGAACCTGTCAAGAACCATGGGGGTTTTTTCGGATTCAAAACAGATTTGTGGCTGACTGGCCGAGCCACACTTAGGTCACAAAAGAGCAGCATGCGGCTCGAGAGCCGCGATTTGCCGAGCACTGCTATAGGGCATTTTGGCATTTCATTGAGTCACCGTACATTGCAATAGGGTATTGTGAGATCTCAATGAGCCACCTTACATTCTAATTATAGCATTATGGCATTTCCCCCAAGACACCTTACAGTACAATAGACCACGCTTTCATAATCCATGGGTCGGATTGAGTTTTCTCTAGGATCGCCAGGTCACAATCCTCCCTTAAACATTGGGGAAACTGAACTAAGGAATATTGTGTAATCTCACTTAGGCACCTTGCTTTGCAATAGAACATTAAGCGCCTTTCTTCAAGGTACCTTTCGTTCTTCAAAGATTACTTTTTATCATGCCATGGTTCATTAAATAACGCCTTTGCTGTGTTGCTTGGGAGATCGAACTGTTCATTAAATAACGCCTTTGCTGTGTTGCTTGGGAGATCGAACTGTTCATTAAATAACGCCTTTGCTGTGTTGCTTGGGAGATCGAACTGTTCAATACATAACACCTTTGCTGTGTTGCTTGGGAGATCGAACTACTCATTACATAACGCCTTTACTGTTTTGCTTGATAGATAGAACTACTCATTAAATTGCCCCTTTACTGCGTGTTGATCGAACTTTAAATTCGTCTTCTTTTCATTTGATTTTCATTTCAGTTTCACGAGACACCAGCGCTTGTAAACTCCGAAGGAAACAACTTCCACGAGAAACGTCTTCAGGAGGAACGTCTTCGGGCTGTTCACCAACTCACGGACGTCCTTGAACCAAACACAAACCTAGATGCCAGCACAGCGAGGGGAGGAGATGGTGAGTGCGATGTGAACCTCGGCGAAGATATCAATCTGGAGTCCACATCGGCAGAAGTCGGTTGGGTTTCTCCCGAAGGAGAAAAAATTAATTCGGCGGAGGACCAGGCTGATAGCAGCTCGGTAACCAACTCGGCGAAATGCAAGAAAAAGAGCAAAGGCCGCGTGACGTTCAAGGAGCCCGTGGCCTACACTGCCAGTTCCGAGTACGACTTCGGAACGTTCTTCATTCAAAAAAGCTCTCAAGAAAATGGCAGCCTCCCTGTTAATCGCTCGGGATATAGTTTGACTCAAGGTGTTTCGCAATCCACCCTTGTCAGAGCCAAATCTGAATCCACATTGGACAATGTCAGAGATTGGGAATTTTTGGCCTATCAAGATTACTTACAGAATTTTCCCGAACCACTTCAAAGCCTCGGGGGGTCGACGCTGGAAATGACGAGTAGGAAAAGTCGTTCCAGAGTCTTTTCTACGTCACACATGGTGGCGCTGTCTGAAAAGAGCTTGCTTCCTTGTGTGCCGAAGGAGGTTACTTCATTTGATCTAAAGTCACAGCCGATCGCAAGCAGGGAGCCTATCTCTCATAGTTCATATTCTAACGGAGAAGTTGAATTTATATCTTGCAGTGTTCAGTTAAAGTCCGCAGATCTGAGAGGCGTTGAACTGCCTGATGCAGCTAAAGAACATTGTGATGATTCCGAAAACACGTCCAAACTTTCACTCCTCAAATCTTTGTCGTCTGCCACCGTAGTCTCCGACTTCGCACAGTGCGACGCGGACGAGTTCGATGTGTCACCGCAGGTTGATAGCTTTGAGTGTCAACATATGGTTCCACCAGATCTGGTTTTTAATATGCCAGCATCCAACCAACCCCAAATTTTGGATCCACGTTTCTCAAATGTGGATAACATTGCCGAGATCTCGGTATCTGACGCCAAGTGTGCAGGTACCCAGGAGTCGCCAGTAACTCTTGATTTAACCTTCTGCGATCACAATCTACAGCTGGGATCTATACTGCTTGAGCATTACATCTCAGAGGGTCTTAAGTCAAAACTGGGCGGCGCCAGGTCACCATACTCGTCGAAAACTATTTCAGAAATTGTTCATCAAGAGTCGCTTCACTCCCAGTTACCCGGTGTTAAATTCAGTAAACAAACTAAACGTGCCTCCAAGAGTTTGACTGCTATCAGTTGCCATAGAAAATATCACGCAGAAGATGCTCTGCCGTGTAAACCAACGATCAGGCTGTCCGTATCTGCACAAAGTCTTCCTGAAGAGCGTAAAACGTTACAAGCTAGCCGCGATGAATGCGGATTGTTCGCAATGAATACTCTGAATGGATATGTAAAAAGTGGCGGCAACAAGACGATAAAATGCCATGTGTCGGAAGCCAAGGAAAATACGTCTTCTAGCACCACTTCCGGCTTGCGCGTTTACAAATCAGAACATGACTTGCAACGGTCTCAATGCTCAGAATACACTAAAACGTATGACAGCTTTCAACCGAGTATTCGCCGGGATCCGCAACAGCCCCAACCACCAGGAACTGGTCAGTCTGCAAGTGACATTTGTGACGTCACAGACCATGAGTTACAGATGCCTCATCCAAAGATGACCAGCAACTCTGCTAGTGTAAGTCGTGTGGATCGTGTGAACCTTTTCTCACAGTCATTTGTAACAGCCAAATCTGTCAGTGTCATTTGTCAAAGTTTGGATAGTGAGTTTAAACCAAGTGCTACAGTCAAATCTGAAAGTGTCATTTGTCAAAGTTTGGATAGTGAGTTAAAATCAAGTGCTACAGTCAAATCTGAAAGTGTCATTTGTCAAAGTTTGGATAGTGAGTTTAAACCAAGTGCTAGAGTCAAATCTGAAAGTGTCATTTGTCAAAGTTTGGATAGTGAGTTAAAATCAAGTGCTACAGTCAAATCTGAAAGTGTCATTTGTCAAAGTTTGGATAGTGAGTTTAAACCAAGTGCTACAGTCAAATCTGAAAGTGTCATTTGTCAATGTTTGGATAGTGAGTTTAAACCAAGTGCTAGAGTCAAATCTGAAAGTGTCATTTGTCAAAGTTTGGATAGTGAGTTAAAATCAAGTGCTACAGTCAAATCTGAAAGTGTCATTTGTCAAAGTTTGGATAGTGAGTTTAAACCAAGTGCTACAGTCAAATCTGAAAGTGTCATTTGTCAATGTTTGGATAGTGAGTTTAAACCAAGTGCTAGAGTCAAATCTGAAAGTGTCATTTGTCAAAGTTTGGATAGTGAGTTAAAATCAAGTGCTACAGTCAAATCTGAAAGTGTCATTTGTCAAAGTTTGGATAGTGAGTTAAAATCAAGTGCTACAGTCAAATCTGAAAGTGTCATTTGTCAAAGTTTCGAAAGTGCGTCTCAACCAAATTATACAGTCATATCTGCAAGTGTTATTTGTCAAAGTTTCGAAAGTGAGTCTCAAACAAATGATACAGCCAAATCTGTAAGTGTCATTTGTCAGAGTTTAGATACTGAGTTTCAACCAAATGCTACATTCAAATCCGAAAGTGTCATTTGTCAAAGTTTGGAAAATGATTGTCAACCACCTGCTACAGTAAAATCTGCAAGTGTCTTGTGTACGAGCCTCACAGATAATGATTCTCAAAGATCTCGATCAGCTTTCCCAGCCGGATCTCCAAATCTGGTCTGTCCAAGTTTAGATGATTTACAACAGTTTGTTGTAAACAAATCTGCAAGTGTTTTATGTGTAAGTTTAGATAATGAATTAGGACCGCATGTTACGACCAAGACTTCAAGTTCCGCAGGTCAGAATCTCGACCAGGAGCTTCAGCCATATGTAACTGTCAAATCTTCAAGTGTCATTTGCCAAAGTTTGGATGATGAGCTGCGACAGTTTGCCTACCCCAAGCCCGCAAGTGTCTCGTGTCAGAGCCTAGCCACAGATTCAGGAGGGACTCGACCAACCGTGACCAATGACACTAGGAGCTTCTATTATAAAAATGCAGACGATAAATCACAAACGCACAATCAAACAGACATACATTCGTTGTTTATTTCCGAGGATGCTGCGACACTTTCCTATCAACAAGAAATGAATCGTTCTTCATCAACGTCTGCTCTCGGGACACTGGGAAATGCGAACGGTGAACAGTTTCCAAACAAAACTGACGTTTCTGGATTCGCTCATTCGGTCAGATCTAATGAACAAGTCGCGTGCAGTTGTCCTCCTTGTGCAGGGGATACGACTGACATCGCGGACAGTTTTACTTTCAGCCAGACGATCAAGAGTTCAAATTTGGCCGGAGACTTGGTTTCTGCAGTTGTGCAATGTGACAGTGCTGACTTCCCGTCACCGGCCGCAAACGAAACCGTGTCTGCCAGTGCGCAGTGTGAAAGCCGGTATTTCTCATTTCTGGACATCCGGTCGCGAAGCAGTGACAGTACGTTTTATATAGGAGATGTTTCTCCGAAGCAGCAAAAATCAGCCGGTGTCCAAATATCTATTAAGGAATGGCTTGATTCGGATGACCAAAGTGTCGATATGGACTCGACCCTGTCATCGATTGGTGACTTTCAGTCTGAAAGTATTCACTGCCCGAGTAGCGGGCTTAATTCCGAGGTCATAAGCAAAACACTCAAACGTGATCCCGCTTCCGAATTTGAAACCGCTTGTGTCCATTCTGCTCCGGTTGAAGTAACGTCAGGGGATAATATCTATGTGATGTCTTTCAGCATTCAAGCAGGCGAAGACTTGGTCAAGGATGCGGGAACCTTATGTTCATTAAGCTCTTTAAAGGACCTAACAATTAATGGTAGCTTGTCCCAAGTCTTCGACGATTCTTCAAATGTGAAAACCATCAACAAGCACAGGTCTTCGGAATATGTAAGCCTGACTACAGGTGACCAACGTAAGATAAGTGAGTCTATTTTAAACAGCCATGAAGCAGGTGTTGCCTTTATTGACCATTGCCTAGAGGATTTGCCTTCCATTAAGAATCGCGATGAAAGTCTAGGTGTTGTTTTAACAGACCAGATACAAAGAAGTCTGCCTCTTTGTGATCAAGATCAACATACTTTAATTTCTTCTAACCAGTGCGAGGAAAATGTGGCTCTACTTAACAAACCTAATGAAGGTTTGGCTGCTCATTATCCTCAAACTTTAACTGGCCATCATCAGGAAAGTTTGGCCTTAAGTGACCCGTATCAGAAAAGTTTGGCCTTCAATGAACAGCCTCATCAAAGTTTGGCTTCAAGTGACCACCATCAGGAAAGTTTTGCTTTAAGTGACCACCATCAGGAAAGTTTGGCCTCAAGTGACCAAGATCAGAAAAGTTTTGCCTTAAGTGACCACCATCAGGAAAGTTTGGCTTTAAGTGACCACCATCAGAAAAGTTTGGCTTTAAGTGACCACCATCAGAAAAGTTTGGCTTTAAGTGACCACCATCAGGAAAGTTTGGCTTTAAGTGACCAAGATCAGGAAATGTGGGCTTTATGTGACCACCATCAGGAAATTTTGGCTTTAAGTGACTACCATCAGGAAAGTTTGGCTTTAAGTGACCACCATCAGGAAAGTTTGGCTTTAAGTGACCGCCATCAGGAAAGTTTGGCTTTAAGTGACCACCATCAGGAAAGTTTGGCTTTAAGTGACCACCATCAGAAAAGTTTGGCTTTAAGTGACCACCATCAGGAAAGTTTGGCTTTAAGTGACCACCATCAGAAAAGTTTGGCTTTAAGTGACCACCATCAGGAAAGTTTGGCTTTAAGTGACCACCATCAGAAATGTTTTGCCTTAAGTGACCACCATCAGGAAAGTTTGGCTTTAAGTGACCACCATCAGAAAAGTTTGGCTTTAAGTGACCACCATCAGGAAAGTTTGGCTTTAAGTGACCGCCATCAGGAAAGTTTGGCTTTAAGTGACCACCATCAGGAAAGTTTGGCTTTAAGTGACCACCATCAGAAAAGTTTGGCTTTAAGTGACCACCATCAGGAAAGTTTGGCTTTAAGTGACCACGAGCAGCAAAGTTTGGCCTTAAGTGACCAGTATCAGAAAAGTTTGGCTTTAATCGACCAACATCAGGAAAGTTTGGCTTTAACTGACCACCATCAGGAGAGTTTAGCTTTAACTGACCACCATCAGCAAAGTTCTGCTTTAACTGACCACCATCAGGAAAGTTTGGCTTTAAGTGACCACCATCAGGAAAGTTTGGCGTTAAGTGACCAGTATCAAGAAAGTTTGGCTTTAAGTGACCACTATCAGAAAAGTTTGGCTTTAAGTAACCAACATCAGGAAAGTTTGGCCTTAAGTGATCACCATCAGGAAAGTTTGGCTTTAAGTGACCAGTATCAAAAAAGTTTGGCTTTAAGTGACCACCATCTGGAAAATTTGACTTTCAGTGACCAGTATCAGGAAAGTTTGGCTTTAAGTGACCAACATCAGGAAAGTTTGGCCTTAAGTGACCATTATCAAAAAAGTTTGGCTTTAAGTGATCACCATCAGGAAAATTTGACTTTCAGTGACCAGTATCAGGAAAGTTTGGCTTTAAGTGACCAGTATCAGAAAAGTTTGGCTTTAAGTGACCACCATCAGGAAAGTTTGGCTTTAAGTGACCACGAGCAGCAAAGTTTGGCCTTAAGTGACCAGTATCAGAAAAGTTTGGCTTTAATCGACCAACATCAGGAAAGTTTGGCTTTAACTGACCACCATCAGGAGAGTTTAGCTTTAACTGACCACCATCAGCAAAGTTCTGCTTTAACTGACCACCATCAGGAAAGTTTGGCTTTAAGTGACCACCATCAGGAAAGTTTGGCGTTAAGTGACCAGTATCAAGAAAGTTTGGCTTTAAGTGACCACTATCAGAAAAGTTTGGCTTTAAGTAACCAACATCAGGAAAGTTTGGCCTTAAGTGATCACCATCAGGAAAGTTTGGCTTTAAGTGACCAGTATCAAAAAAGTTTGGCTTTAAGTGACCACCATCTGGAAAATTTGACTTTCAGTGACCAGTATCAGGAAAGTTTGGCTTTAAGTGACCAGTATCAGAAAAATGTGGCTTTAAGTGACCACTATCAGGAAAGTTTGGCTTTAAGTGACCAGTATCAGAAAAGTTTGGCTTTAAGTGACCACCATCAGGAAAGTTTGGCTTTAAGTGACCACGAGCAGCAAAGTTTGGCGTTAAGTGACCAGTATCAAGAAAGTTTGGCTTTAAGTGACCACTATCTGAAAAGTTTGGCTTTAAGTGACCAACATAAGGAAAGTTTGGCCTTAAGTGATCACCATCAGGAAAGTTTGGCTTTAAGTGACCAGTATCAAAAAAGTTTGGCTTTAAGTGACCAACATCAGGAAAGTTTGGCCTTAAGTGACCATTATCAAAAAAGTTTGGCTTTAAGTGACCACCATCAGGAAAATTTGACTTTCAGTGACCAGTATCAGGAAAGTTTGGCTTTAAGTGACCAGTATCAGAAAAATGTGGCTTTAAGTGACCACTATCAGGAAAGTTTGGCTTTAAGTGACCAGTATCAGAAAAGTTTGGCTTTAAGTGACCACCATCAGGAAAGTTTGGCTTTAAGTGACCACGAGCAGCAAAGTTTGGCCTTAAGTGACCAGTATCAGAAAAGTTTGGCTTTAACCGACCAACATCAGGAAAGTTTGGCTTTAACTGACCACCATCAGGAGAGTTTAGCTTTAACTGACCACCATCAGCAAAGTTCTGCTTTAACTGACCACCATCAAGAATGTTTATCGTTATTTGATCAAAGCAGTGAAAGCGTGTCAGCAACTAACTCAAAGGAGAGTTTGCCACATTTTGTTAGAAGTAAGAAGCCCCACGTAGCCACAAACTCGGCGCATTTTCTACCAGCATTGGTTGTTCGAAGACGAACTCAACAATGTGACCGCCATGTCAATAACGATCTACCTAAAATAAGTCAAGTGAATCTTCGATCATCTCCGATCGACAACAGCCGTGTGGGTCAAACTGAGCTATGTGTTCTAGAGAGAGTAGACCCCTCACGTCACGCACCGGAGCTCTCCATTGCCCACTTACCACAGAGCGCCCACTCAGAGCAAAACTCCCCCGCTCCCTCACAGCAGAACGCCCCTGATCCCTTGCAGCAGAACGCCCCTAGTTGTTTCGGGACGTTGAGCTCAAAGATGACTAAGAAAAAGCTCCCGAGTTTGTCTCTAAGGACAGTCAACGATAAACAGGTGACCTTGAGCGACGTGCCAGAAGAAGACGTTTCATCGATTCGCACGACTCGGTCGCTGCAAAAAGAGAGCAGGCGGCCGCCAGACGTCCGGCAGGAAAGAATGAAACAGCGTTCTGCTGGTCGCAGGAAAGTTCTGAAGGATATGAAGTTAAGCTCTGCCTGTGATACGCTGGCTACAAAGGAGGATGTGGTGGAACACTCAACAAAGCGGAATTCCCTTCTTGGGAAAGTCGTGTTTGGCGATCATCTAAAGCGCGCCCCTGTGAGTTCTAAAAGAGTGGCATCTCCACGTCAGAGCAGTGATTTGGAAAACAGAGACGTCACCTGCTCTGTGCTGCCAAGCGAAGCGTCTGCGACGCTCTGCAACACGCTTGAGGATGTTGACGCGATTGCTTCTTCGATATCCATCGCAACTCCCACCAGGAATTCGCTGTGCTTGCCTGGGGACGGCATGTCCTTGGCGGCACCTGACGCAGGCGAGGCTCTCGAGCACACCGACCGAGACGGCCGCAAGGATAACGCGTTCCAAGATGTTGATGCCTGCGGTGATATAACCAACATCTGTGATATTTTGGACCGTCTGGTCAAGCCTGACACCAGAACTCAGATGTCAACTCTATCAGAGCTGACGGTCTACACGGTGGGCGACGATCCTGAGCTTCAGATCAAGTTGTCTGAAGACAACCTGGAGAGTCTGGCCGTGGTAAGTTACTCGTCCGACAGATTGGCTGTTGATAGTCGTGTTTCTTATAGCGGACTCATCTTATAGTTCTCAAGAGCATCATTTATTGTAGAAGAAAAAAATGTCACCAGCTTAGTTCTAGTAGTTTCACTAGTGAAAGATTGGGGCTTTTCTGTGGGGCTTTTCTGTGGGGGGTTTATTTAAGTTTGACCAATATCTCCGTCCCATCTCTTTCGTTAACGGCTGCTCTTGTCATCAAGGTATTGTTACCTACTTGAACATCTTTTTTTTTTCTTCTTCCTGTGCGCGAATAAATTCATTGTACAAGAGGTTTAAAAAAATCCATGATCTAACGAGATATTCTTTTGACATGAAATTATCCTAAAGGTAGATCAACACACGCTGGAAAAAAGTCACATCATAATCGGATTATTTCAGCCTCAACTTTTTTAATTGAACTTTGGACTAAGATTTGGAAATTAATTGCACACATTTGCAGACGTTTAAAAAAAATTTGCCTTATTTAGATTGACCCCGATGTTCTCCGGGAATTAATATCTTCAATCAATGAATTAACGACGTAAGAATCATAGTTTATTGTGGGACGGTGGAGTTCAATACCTTTTTGGGGATGTTGGCAGAGTTTGATTTGTGGGACGGTAGAGTTAAATACCTTTTTGGGGATGTTGGCAGAGTTTGATTTGTGGGACGGTAGAGTTCAATACCTTTTTGGGGATGTTGGCAGAGTTTGATTTGTGGGACGGTAGAGTTAAATACCTTTTTGGGGATGTTGGCAGAGTTTGATTTGTGGGACGGTAGAGTTAAATACCTTTTTGGGGATGTTGGCAGAGTTTGATTTGTGGGACGGTAGAGTTAAATACCTTTTTGGGGATGTTGGCAGAGTTTGATTTGTGGGACGGTAGAGTTAAATACCTTTTTGGGGATGTTGGCAGAGTTTGATTTGTGGGACGGTAGAGTTAAATACCTTTTTGGGGATGTTGGCAGAGTTTGATTTGTGGGACGGTAGAGTTAAATACCTTTTTGGGGATGTTGGCAGAGTTTGATTTGTGGGACGGTAGAGTTAAATACCTTTTTGGGGATGTTGGCAGAGTTTGATTTGTGGGACGGTAGAGTTAAATACCTTTTTGGGGATGTTGGCAGAGTTTGATTTGTGGGACGGTAGAGTTAAATACCTTTTTGGGGATGTTGGCAGAGTTTGATTTGTGGGACGGTAGAGTTAAATACCTTTTTGGGGATGTTGGCAGAGTTTGATTTGTGGGACGGTAGAGTTAAATACCTTTTTGGGGATGTTGGCAGAGTTTGATTTGTGGGACGGTAGAGTTAAATACCTTTTTGGGGATGTTGGCAGAGTTTGATTTGTGGGACGGTAGAGTTAAATACCTTTTTGGGGATGTTGGCAGAGTTTGATTTGTGGGACGGTAGAGTTAAATACCTTTTTGGGGATGTTGGCAGAGTTTGATTTGTGGGACGGTAGAGTTAAATACCTTTTTGGGGATGTTGGCAGAGTTTGATTTGTGGGACGGTAGAGTTAAATACCTTTTTGGGGATGTTGGCAGAGTTTGATTTGTGGGACGGTAGAGTTAAATACCTTTTTGGGGATGTTGGCAGAGTTTGATTTGTGGGACTGTAGAGTTAAATACCTTTTTGGGGATGTTGGCAGAGTTTGATTTGTGGGACGGTAGAGTTAAATACCTTTTTGGGGATGTTGGCAGAGTTTGATTTGTGGGACGGTAGAGTTAAATACCTTTTTGGGGATGTTGGCAGAGTTTGCGTATATTGTTCAAAATGTGATAACATTCCTTCATCTAAGTCTATCTTTGCAATAGCTTTGGTTTTTGACTTGGGATCAGTAACTTTTACTTCACCACTAGTGAGTGACTCATATTAAATTCATTGTATGTAAAGCAGGGTTCTCATCATTTTACAATTACACTGAAACATAATACTTACACCAGAATTAATGTTTGAAAAAAAAAAAAAGAAATCCAACTTTTGAGATCAATATGACAGTGCTTCTTTTTGACTTGCTCTTTGATGTTGAATTCAAACATTTGACTAACGAGAGTATTCTTTGTTTCAAAACATTCTGTTAATAAGGGGTGTGTATGTGCTTTCTTTCGTGTGCATGTCTCTCTGGATTTGCATATGTATATGTGTGTGTGTGTGAATGTAGCTGTGCATGTGGGTGTGGGTGTGCATGTGCGTGTGAATGTAGCTGTGCATGTGGGTGTGGGTGTGCATGTGCGTGTGAATGTAGCTGTGCATGTGGGTGTGAGTGTGCATGATTATGTGTATGTAGGGGGGCATGTGTGGGCGTGCATGCGTGTGCGTGTGAATGTGCGCGTGGGTGGGTGTGAGTGTGCATGTGTGTTAGTGTGTGTTTTAATTTAAAGATATTTGATTTCCTCAACATCTGTATATTTCCACTGACGGACTAGCTTGATCTGCCAATCACAGAGGAGACTTCCGACAGGGCACGTAACCCACGGGATGCTGACGGTGAACTGGCAGGAGACGTGGAACAAACTGACGTGCTAGAAGATCTTTCAGAGCAGGCATTGAGAACTCCTGACCTTCAAGTAGAGGAAGAAGAAGATCTTTCAGAGCAGGTATTGAGAACTCCTGACCTTCAAGCAGAGGAAGAAGAAGATCTTTCTGAGCAAAAATTGAAAACTCAGGCCCGCCCAGCAGATGAAACTGAAGATAGTTCACGGAACACTTTGCGAACTCAGGGAGGTGAAGAAAAAGAGTGGGCATTGAGAACTCCTGGCCTCGAGGATCATGACCAAGTTGAGTCAGCAAAAGCTCCTGATTCAAGGTCTTCTGAAAGTTCTGTGAAGAAAGTCAAAGGTGATGGCGCTGTCGAAGGCAAGGATGGTATTGAGACATCGGAAGCTACTTTTACAACTATTACAAACGCTACGGAGAGTAAGCAGAACATATTGCAAATTAATTTCGTTTTACCATTTTGTTAAACGTTTTCACAAACCCCTTAAAGCACAACCCATTAAAACGTGTTTTTGACGATACAAAGTTATCTCTTACAGCAGCGGTTCTCAACCTGTGGGTCGCGATCCCCTTTGGGGGGTCGAACGACCATTACACGGGGGTCGCCTAAGACCATTGGAAAACACATAATTTTGATGTAGGAACGGACATAATTTTATGGTTGGTGGTCACCACAACATGGGGAACTGAATTAAAGGATCACTGCATTGAGCAGGCTGAGAACCACTGTCTTACAGGGAGAAGACATAACCCGTTAGATTATCTTGCAAAACAAGGGAGTTTATTTTTTAAGATTTCGATCCATCTCACGTTCATTAATGAAAATGTCTGTTATCAAATATTCACCAGTAACTATAGTTGTTGTTTTATGTCTGTTACCAAATATACACCAGTAACTATAGTTGTTGTTTTATGTCTGTTATCAAATATACACCAGTAACTATAGTTGTTGTTTTATGTCTGTTATCAAATATTCACCAGTAACTATAGTTGTTGTTTTATGTCTGTTATCAAATATTCACCAGTAACTATAGTTGTTGTTTTATGTCTGTTATCAAATATTCACCAGTAACTATAGTTGTTGTTTTATGTCTGTTATCAAATATTCACCAGTAACTATAGTTGTTGTTTTATGTCTGTTATCAAATATTCACCAGTAACTATAGTTGTTGTTTTATGTCTGTTATCAAATATTCACCAGTAACTATAGTTGTTGTTTTATGTCTGTTATCAAATATTCACCAGTAACTATAGTTGTTGTTTTATGTCTGTTATCAAATATTCACCAGTAACTATAGTTGTTGTTTTATGTCTGTTACCAAATATTCACCAGTAACTATAGTTGTTGTTTTATGTCTGTTACCAAATATTCACCAGTAACTATAGTTGTTGTTTTATGTCTGTTATCAAATATTCACCAGTAACTATAGTTGTTGTTTTATGTCTGTTACCAAATATACACCAGTAACTATAGTTGTTGTTTTATGTCTGTTATCAAATATTCACCAGTAACTATAGTTGTTGTTTTATATCTGTTACCAAATATACACCAGTAACTATAGTTGTTGTTTTATGTCTGTTATCAAATATTCACCAGTAACTATAGTTGTTGTTTTATGTCTGTTATCAAATATTCACCAGTAACTATAGTTGTTGTTTTATGTCTGTTATCAAATATTCACCAGTAACTATAGTTGTTGTTTTATGTCTGTTACCAAATATACACCAGTAACTATAGTTGTTGTTTTATGTCTGTTATCAAATATTCACCAGTAACTATAGTTGTTGTTTTATGTCTGTTATCAAATATACACCAGTAACTATAGTTGTTGTTTTATGTCTGTTATCAAATATACACCAGTAACTATAGTTGTTGTTTTATGTCTGTTATCAAATATACACCAGTAACTATAGTTGTTGTTTTCTGTCTGTTATCAAATATACACCAGTAACTACAGGTTTTTAAAGTTTTTTTTTGTGTGTGGTCCCTTTCGCTCAGCTAAGGCAGGAGGTGACAAACCCCAGAAGCGAGTGAGCAGAAAGGTCTCTGGGGGGTCACCCGGCGGACCACCTGGCGGGCCACCTGATGACGGAGACAAGAAAAAGCCAACAGAGAAGCTGAAAAGGAAGAAGATTGATCGTAATGCTCTGTTTCCTCCCCGTGTGATGGCCGAGAGCCACTACTACAAACACAACAACACCATTAACGTGGTGGTTAAGCCAGTCAACGCTCAGCTGCCCACGGACGGGCTCAACGTTAAGGTGCATTATTTGGTGTGGGTGGAGCCATGGGCGCCCGCAGAAAACTTTCAAGGGGGGGGGGCAAAAATAAATCGATTAACTTTCTAGGGGGGGGGCAAAATATTTTTAGTAATGTTTTAATGTAGTTTTAATTTACTGTAGCGTATTTGTATGGTGAACGAACGGACAGGACATCAGCTTAGTTACTTTCTCTTTATTTTCTTTACTTTAATAAAAAAAAAAATCTATTTTTGTCTAAATTTTTTTTATCCAATCAATACGGGGGGGGGACGGGGGACGGGACGGACAAGTACCCCCCCCCTCCCTGCGGGCGCCCATGGGTGGAGGGTATATACATTAAAGTAATACTCGGCACTTTCTGAAACGGAGGCAAATAAAATGGGAAAAGAAAAGAACGTTTTTAAAAAAATGGGGGAGGACTTTAAGTCTAAAATAGTTTGACAGTCGGTGCAAAATTTCATATAGTATACTTTTTTTTTAGAAAGAGCTAAGCGGCCCCAGTAATTTGTGATGTCATTGGTTACGTCTACGATTCCGAAGGAATGCCAGACCAATTGCTTGTATTAATATAAAATAAACAATATCATGGCCGGCAGACTAATTGTTTGTCCATCCATCCATCCTTCTACGGCCCGTGTAGAGAGCTTCGGCCTGCCTCACCACTTCTTTCTACTTAGACCTAACTAATGCTTTTCTTTAACATGCTTGGATTCCCGGCTGCTGTGGATCTTTTTCCACATCATCCATCCATATAGGCCTAGGCCTACCTTTGAGCCGTTATCCTCTGGGGTTTTGATGGGGCACCCTCTTCACTCCTCCACTTGCTTGTAGTAATATAAAATAAACAATACCATGGCCGGCAGACCGCGAGCGACAGTTCATTTTTTAATATAACGTTTCGTCAGGAAACATTCTGCAAACTTACGACACGCCACCGAAGGCACTGTATGACGGCATGTATGACAACATGCATAGCGGCATGCTTTGGATAAAGAGTGGCTTGCGGAACATCGTCTCATAACTGTCAACGTCCCATGCATTTAGTGAGCTTCAGTCCGACGTGCCAAGTTAGCTGATGGTCTCTTTAAGGAAATGCCGTTCTTGCAATACGACATGCAGCGTACAAACCGGGCCCTTTTCTTTTGTTTTTGTTAACTGTGGGCTTAGCACACAGAAAATCATCATGATGATATTCTATTGGGTTTACGAAGGGAAATGCAAGCATGTTATGCCTTTTCAAAAGCATTGAAATTTGGGGACACCAGTGTAAACTGTAACAAATTTTACCGAATCGAGTAACGGAATTGGTTTCAAGTTCAAAACATGGAATAAACCATTTCCAAGCTACCTTTGCGCTATCCAGTGGTGCTATGGCCACAAAGAACACGTTTTCGGAAAGAACTTGAAGTTGTTTAGTGACAATTATCACATGTGACCATGAACTTGGTAAATCGGTATTGAACTGCCAAAAATAACAGTCGCTTCGATGCCTTTCACTGGTTATTGGACTTTGGGACCGCCGTTTGGAGGAGTGTCAATAGTCTAATGACAGCTTTATCTTCACTAGTCTAATGACAGCTTTATCTTCACTAGTCTAATGACAGCTTTATCTTCACTAGTCTAATGACAGCTTTATCTTCACTAGTCTAATGACAGCTTTATCTTCACTAGTCTAATGACAGCTTTATCTTCACTAGTCTAATGACAGCTTTATCTTCACTAGTCTAATGACAGCTTTATCTTCACTAGTCTAATGACAGCTTTATCTTCACTAGTCTAATGACAGCTTTATCTTCACTAGTCTAATGACAGCTTTATCTTCACTAGCGAATTCTTTGAATGCCTGTTAAAAAAACGTTAAGATTATCAGACTATTTCCGGTAATAAAAATAACATGTGTTAAGTGTTTTATAAATAATTAAAGTAACACATTTTAAAGATTCAACTAATTCTTCTGAAATATGATGTTGTTTCAAACAATGCTGTCTCTCATCAGCGTTAATTACCAACAAACACGTGGCTCTTCAATTTGAGAGATTGGAGAATTCGAATAGACCCGTGCGCAGATAAAGTTGGGGGATGTGTGGGGAAAGGTTAACTTGACATAACACCATTTTCAAGTTAGTAAGTTTGTGCGTGGATGGTAAGCATTGATGGGGACGTTTTCAGTAGGTTTATTTTGCTACCTCTCCCGTAGGTCCACGTACACAGGAGACAGAGTCGCCTCCCTGTTATACCATCTCAGGGTGCAGTCGAGGCGAGAAAACGCAGCCAACCGTCACCGAGCTACACCCTAAAGAAACGCGCCAGCAACACGCTCCCGCTGATCACATTGGACAGGTACGTGATGTGCTGCTGGGAACTGTTAGAACATTATGGTAGATCCATGGTTATAGTTGCTCAAATAACCTTATAATGATTAGGTTTATTTGAGGGTTGGCCAGTTTCCACGTTGTGGGATTGAGAAATAATTAAGAAGTTACTAGTGACTTTCATTATTGCTTAAAATATTAAAAAAAAAAAAAACAAGTCTTTGTGAAATTCTACTCGTCTCTCACGCAAATGACCTGATGTATCTATTTGTTTTTTTTTTTTTTTTTTTTATTTTTTTTTATAATTATTAATAGGCGTAGGAAAGGGATGCCCCTGGTGGCACTTTTTTATTTTGAATGGAGAAATGTGTACTTATTTTTCTTAGAAGGGACGGATCAAAGCTTGGCCTTCTCCGGGGCAATAACCCTGGCTAAACTACTGATTATAACGTATTATTATTTGAAATAACTTTTTATGTCATTCGTCAAAGTTTGTTTGGATTCGTAGTGACGACTATGACGTTCCTTTCAGTATTTCTTTTTTTTTTTAAATTAAACTTGAGAAATGTGAACAATGACATCATATTTCAAATATATACCTCTTCTTGTCCTCGATCAGAGATATTATAGATCTACGGGCAGCCAACCCGCCCTTTAACACAGCAACCAACCCAGAAGCGGACACCAGGTACAAGAAGATAACACGCAACTGGAGGGTCCGCTAGCACACCGGAAGTAGGGGTTAGGAATGCGATACCGCGTAACTGTGGGGTCCGCTAGAAGACAGGAAGTAGGGGTTTAGAAATGCCCTGCCTCGCAACTGTGGGATCCGCTAGAAGACTTGAAGTAGGAGTTATGGATTATCCCCTTTAAAAAATTATCCAAAAGCCCGCGAAAGACAGCTATTATGTTATACTTAAATTATGGCTATTACTTTATAATTTAGCTACGACTTTCAAATTTTGTTTAATATTCCTATTATCCGGTCCATGATTTCCACCAGTTTGGCGTCCCACTTAAAGAATGGATCCGTTTTAGCCAACTAGCTTCTTTCGCGGAAAAGTTAACAAGAAAATGACAGTACATACAAACCTAATGAGTTTCTCAGACATAGGGAGAAAAAAAGCATGAAATAACAGAAGTCTTGCTTATTTTACATTGAAATGTTTTGTATTACTCAATTATATTTGAAATGGGAAAAAATGAAACAATTTTCCAAATTTTGTTTTTCTCAATAATATTCCTTGAAAGTTTTTTTTTTTAAATAACCAATTTGGTTTTATAATTAGCCGACTCTCTATGGTTAGTGCTAAAATAATGGTATTATCTCAACCATCCTAATCCCAGCGCCACCCATTTCATTTCTTGGATTTTGAGTTAAAACAAATTTATCAATTCAAAATTTTTTTGCTGATATGTAACATCGCTAGTAAAAAATTTGCAACCGCTGGTAATGAGTTAAGATGTTGCTTATTTGATACATACTGATCTTAATGTAGCTCTGAGCTTGTTGTTGTGTGTGTATGTTATACCGTCAGTTAGTCTGTTAAACCCCCCCCCACCTCACAGGCCCATATAATTATCATATCCCTATAAATATTACTATGCTTAAATAAACTGCATTGAAAATGAAACATGCTGCCAAACTCCATCCCACAAACACCCATGCCAAACTCCACCCCATCAACATCCATGCCAAACTCCACCCCACCAACACCCATGCCAAACTCCACCCCACCAACACCCATGCCAAACTCCACCACACCAACACCCATGCCAAACTCCACCACACCAACACCCATGCCAAACTCCACCCACCAACACCCATGTCAAACTCCGCCCCACCAACCCCCATGCCAAACTCCACCACACCAACACCCATGCCAAACTCCACCCACCAACACCCATGCCAAACTCCGCCCCACCAACACCCATGCCAAACTCCACCACACCAACACCCATGCCAAACTCCACCACACCAACCCATGTCAAACTCCGCCCCACCAACACCCATGCCAAACTCCACCACACCAACACCCATGCCAAACTCCACCCACCAACACCCATGCCAAACTCCACCCCACCAACACCCATGCCAAACTCCACCCACCAACACCCATGCCAAACTCCGCCCCACCAACACCCCATTTGTGAAAGCATTCAAACACCCACACCCATAATTGTTGTTTTCCAAAAAATCCTGGCGTTCGACTTCCGTTAGTTTGGATACCTTTACACTGTACGGGGCAAAACACCATTTTAAATGGCAGTTGCCAAAAAACAGGTTTTTCGGTAGGCATTTCAGATTTGTATAAAATGCCTCCTGACACTGGATGAATTGTCGAGTTTGGGAAATCGTTGCTTTATGAACATAAACATTCATAGCTCTATATTAATGAATTTGTCAATCTTGTCCCAATAAGAGTGATTGGCAGCATGTCGGGCCAGAACTTGTTTACAATTGTTGGAGTAAGAGACTATCCGCTTTTAAATTGTCATTGAAATATGATATAGTCTGCATAACTACTGACGGTGCCAGTGGGATGAATGTGTTAGGATGTGAAGCAGCGCTTTACCATCAACAGCGTTGTGGTCACGGTGTTCAGCTGGCAATGTTAGACGTCCTTTATAAAATAATATATTTGAAGAAAAAAAAAACTCTTAAACCTCAAAAACATCGACCCGTAGAAGACAACGATAGCGATGATTCTGACTGTGGTGATGATAATGACGCATTTGATATCAATCAAAATAAACAATATTTTCAAAGATTTAATCAGCAACAATTTTCAGAAAGTCGCCTGGAAAAAATACGATTCTCCAGAAATATGGAAGCTTTATGGTGGCTTTAGCGTCCAATTTGTGCCTGGAAAGTGGAAATGCAATTCTCCTTTACCAACTATTTAAGTGTTTATATAATTATAACTAGCCCTCTAGATAAATCTATTGACACGGTCACAGACAATTGTTCCTAATGAAACAATAACTAGCCCTCTAGATAAATCTATTGACATGGTCACAGACAATTGTTCCTAATGAAACAATGTTAATTTAGACAAAACTTACATTCAGACACAACATTCCTTTCAAAAGAAATTTATTTAGACACAACTTTCATTTAGACACAAAGACACAACTTTCATTTAGACACAAAGACACAACATTCATTTGGACACAACATTCCTTTAGACACAACTCTCATTTATAAACGATATTCTCATTTAGACACAACATTAATTTAGACACATTCATTTAGACACAAAGACACAACATTCAATTAGACACAAAATTCATTTAAACACAACTTTCATTCGGACACAACATTCATTTAGACACAACATTCATTTAGACACAGAGACACAACATTCATTTGGACAAAATATTCCTTTAGACACAAATTCATTTCGACACAACTTTCATTTAGACATGACTTTCATTTAGAAACGACAATGTAGACACAACATTCATTTAGATGCAAAGACACAACATTCATTGAGACACAAAGACACAACATTCATTGAGACACAAAGACACAACATTCATTGAGACACAAAGACACAACATTCATTGAGACACAACATTCATTAGACACAAAGACACAACATTCATTTGGACACAACATTCATTTAGACACAAAATTCATTTAGACAAAATGCTCCCAAGGACTCAAGAACAAACGTTTGAGTTGGGAAATAAAGCAAAAATAATTTTAATAAAGTGCATGTCATTGTCCAGTGTGACATATTCTTTCAAAGTAATTATGCAAAACATGAATACAACTAATGGTGAAACAAATCTATGCATGTCCAGATAGCTAACAATTGGTTGGAGATATTTCACTGTCAACAATCATATGAAGATGACCATGCTGTCTTGCTGTCTGTTGTCCACTCAATATGTAAACAAACTGTCAACCATTTTATTTTTTTTTTAATTTGTAATTGAATGGTGGGAGGCTCAATGGCTCTTTGGCTCTAATGGCTGTTTCTATTCAAAGCAATTCTGTATAAAATAAACTTGAGGAGTTCATAGCCCCACATTTAATAGCAGTCTCATCCACCAATATTTTAGTGGGGCGGTTTTGTCACCTTCAGGGGACCATGTCCAACTATCACAATATATAATGTACAGTCCGGATGTAATATTTGTCATCAGAAGTTGGGTTTCTCTAATGTAAAAGACAGTTTTATTTGCTGCCTACACCATGAAACCATCAAAAGATATTTTTTTTTTTCTTTTGTCTTTAAATGGTTGAGTGGGGGAGCTGGTAGTAATTTTGCTACATACTACTTTGGTATGTCAGACACTCATTTATTTTAGTTTTTGTTTAGAATTATTAGAAAGTTATGGCAATACAATCAACATGAGAGAGAAAGAGAAACAAAAAATTAAATAAATTAAGGAAAAATAAATATGTGCATAAGTCAAGCATAATGGGTTTTTAAATTTAAAAAAACAAAAAAATTGGTCATGTAAAAATGTCACTAGACAAAGTCATTCATATAGAGTACAAAGTAGTCCGTAATTTCTAAGTCATTCATATAAAATACAAAGTAGTCCATAATTTCTAAGACTGATGGGAATGTTGGGATAACACACACACACGCACACTAATCTGATCATCATGTTTACATCACTACTTTAAATTAGCACCAGCACAACAAAGAAAAAATAGTAGTTTCTTGTCAAGAGCCTTATTTATACAAGAGTCATTTCATAAGCTATTAGCATGCATAAATAAAATTATACAAAGAAAATATTAGGAGTATGTAACTCAAGAGTAGTTCTAGCATTTCAGGTCAACATAATAAAATAAAAATTAAATCTGTTAAGCTGTAAGACAGAGAAAATGCCATGTCCAAATAAAGTATATATCAAATAGAATTCATCTAACAAATTGGCCAAGGGAGATTAGTCTCGAGGCTACAGAGTTAAAGTTCACTGAATCAGATGAGGAATTTTAAACATGTCTAACAACATTGTAAATTTTATTTACTGTGCCATTCTTCAGCCTAGTTGATGATGTAATAGAGAAGACACCATGTCAGATGATAAGAGACAAGTTTTAGAAGACTCCCTGTCAATCATTTGATATAGACAAACTCTGACCTCTTCAACCTGCATGTCCACTCTCACTGACCTCCTCAAGCTCTAATTTTGCTCCTTATATTACCAGCCTGCTCTTGTCTTATAAGTTAATGTTCAGTTTGTTTTAGAAAACAAGTTTGCACTTTCAGGGTGAAAATCTGCATTTAATTCTAAGGAAACTCCTAAGTTTTTTAACAGGAAGGAAAAAAAAAGCAATTGCAAATGGTCAAATAGTGTTTCAAATAATAAGTATGAGCATATAAAAAGACAAAGTCATTGAAAGTAAACCAGCTTTAACAAAGTATAGTTCACTGGTGATATCTAGCTAATTCCAACATTATATAGTTATCTCCCTGTTGAATATCGGTATTTCTGACCTTTTACCTTTGTAAATAAATCAGCAATGATAATTTTCTACAACTAATTCCCATGGATGTTTCATACCTAACCCTAGCTTTCATATTTATTCCGAAATCTGAACTTCTTTGACAAATCTCACAGCAATAAAAAATTGTTTTTCAAAATTGTTAAAAATGAGAACTCTGCCACATGAATTTCTTTAACCCATATTTCAGTTAATGATTTGACTTGTTTTGAGAAGTAAACATATCTTGAAATGTTTGCAGTTTTCACTTTATTCTTATCACTTCATTTAGTTTTACCAAATGAAAGCTGTTGTTAGTTGTGTGCAGTTTATCAAGTACAGAAAAAAACGAATTATTATAATCTGACGTTAATTTCAGATTGATTCATGATTTTTCTTAGACTATACTAACAAAAACATATGATGGCTCCTCAATTATTTTTAATTTAGTCTACCCTGGCTTTGACGATATATTTAATATAAAGAAAGGATACAATTTTTAAAAATTGGAGATTTGAATTTAAATGAAATTTTTTTTAGCTTACATTGTGACCTAAAATACACAACTGCCAATATTTCCAAGTGTTGAGGCAAAACTATGACCAAACGGAATGCCAACACTTTACAAATGCAATACAAACATTAAAAAACATATATAGCAAATAGATTTTGAAATCCATTAAATGCAAAGTTTAAATGTAAAAAAATCTGAATTATTTTATTCCCATGTATCATTTTTTTTTTATGAATGCATGTCACCCATCAATGTGTAGAGTAGATTATAGTAATGGTAAAAATTTTAAACTTTCAAATTTGTATTACATAAGTTAAGTAGCTGAAATTACCATTTTAAGTACAACTCAAAGTCTAATGGCAAACGCCTTCTGAAATATATAAAA